TTTGGAACAAATTTGGTGGGAGTTGGCAGTGATGAGTTGGCTGGTGCTATTGCAATTTCCTAGCAAGTGGGGTAAGTGCGGTGTGCATATGAACCCATGCATTTCCTCGTCTTTCTATTTTTTGCTACTGCATGTGTTTTTAGTGATTGCATAACATGAAAATTGTAGTGTTTGATAATTGTTTGTAAGAAATTTAGTTTTTTATGTGATAATCAGTTGTGTATTTTTGTTCGGGATCTGTTCTTGTCTATAGTAGAAAGGGGGCTGATGTGGCTAACCATTGTGTGGCAGCAGTTCCTACAGAGAGGTACTAATTGAAAGTGTTATATTTTTGTTGTTTTAGTTATGCAACTTGCAATTTGTCGTATATACTAACTCCTTGCATGAATTGTGCCTACCCATTTAATGCATTTACCATCACTAGGATATCAATCACCTTTAAGAAGATGGACGAAGGAAATCAGCCTGTTGGATACGTTCCCGAACCTGATTTGCAAGGACTTCAGCCATTTGTCTTATGAAGCAAGCTGATTCCAAGTTGTTGAATTCTTCATAACCAAAGCATTTTGTGAAGAATGCACCGCACTGATTCCTCAATCGTGAATGGATTGACAATGGATTCATATGCAAAACCGGTTCTATTAATTTGCAGCAAAGCTCCTTCGGGAAGGAATTTGCTTTCAGGCCTGCTATTTTGACAATTTCCTGAAGGCTAACTAGTTTACTTAGTAGCAAATGCGTGTGAACTTGACTCGAAGTGAACATTATCATATAAAATGGGTGTTTCGAACCTGACCACATAATCCGCATCCTAATAAACCTTATTGTGACGAGCTGACAACTTGATATTAGAATAGGCGTATGTACTTTGATCTTATCATTGGATTTTGAGGATGATTAACTTAGAAATAATAGGCACCCTATATGTTCTAGAATATCAATGTCCGAAGTATCTCACCATAAACAACAATTACAAAACTTTCAGGATAAAGGGAAGGAATTCACCCTAAATAACATTTCTATTTACGTTGGACTACTAACAACTAAAACCACACATGGCATTAAAGGCCAAATTACTCAAATAACTATTAAGATCAGACCAACAACTTTCGGCTTGATATCTTTTTCATATAAACCACGAATCTCATGCACGGTCAAACCATCTGAGATGCCCCAGAATCAAACTCAATTTGTTCAAGTTGGTCGAATATCCTGCAACAATAGTTCATATATCTCTTATTATATTTAACTTCTTTCATGTGCATCGGTCTTTAAACAATAATGTGACTGATGAGTAAATGATGTCTCAATCGATAGCTAATACCTTGACATTAAACTATGATCGTGCCTTTCCTTCACAGAAACTCACAATCAACCATAGCCAAAAAGAATGGCCTCTAAATTGTAGAAAATACTCCGTGTCAAGGGTTTTCATGGCGGGTAGGGGTGTTCACCCTACCTATGGGTAGGAAACATGGTCTTCTATCTTCCTATCTGATACTCTGATACTTTACGAAAGAATTTTTTTTTTGTCTATCCTATTCGATCAAGTGTAGTATTTCTACCTAACTTCTGTCCAAATTAATCGAGTAGAAAGTCGAGTAAGAAATTTGGTGAACACTTTTTTGTAGTTATTAATTTTTAGATCATTTTAACAATTTAATTAAATAATCTGCACCAATTTAACAATATAATAAACTAATAACACTAAAATGTAAAACAATTATAATAACAATTACAACGAAACATAAGAAAGTCCGAGGCATAAATATTAATTAATCATAATTGTTGTATAATTACATTAACGATTATTTTAAGTTTAAATCATATGAAACACATTAAAAATTATAATTGTTCTAATATATATATATATATATATATATATATATATATATATATATATATATAGTAAGGTATGGTATGATAGAAGAACAAAAAAATTTTAGTATTCCTATCCAATTTTTTAGGATGGAGTTAGCTAAGGGAGGAAATTGCGAGTAATCCCCAGTGGCGGGTAATCGAGCAAAAAAGTATTAGATGGAATCTCAATCCTGAAACCGCGGAAGCGAAACCGGGATCGAGCCTTCAAAAAGTTAGGGTGTCGGATAGTTGAGCACCAGAGCTTTGACACGCACTGACATTAAAGACTTGGTCGGAAGCCTTCTGAGCACTTCGACGATTAAGTCATGAGGGAGCTCTGAAACGCCACCATCGCCATCGCCATCGCTGCCGCTTGCTCTTTTTGCCTGTTTTCCCATCGCTTCTCCTTTTGCCTCTACTCTTTGCTTATCTTCGATCCTAATTTCCACTTCATTATATTCAGCTTTTATCTGACTTAGCATGTCTGTGATAAGAGGTAGATCCGAAACTCTACCACCACCACCACTGGCGGCCGGTTATCTTCAATCTCAACCTAAAATCAAACCTGATCACTTTCCAAATACTGATCTTGATCTCATTCTCTCTCTGACTTGTATTTTCAGACATAAATCTTGATCTCAATCTCCATCGCAACCATCTATATGTACACAGACAGGTCAGAGAGATATGTTCAAATTCCAATTGGTATCTGCTTCTGATCTCTGGAAGGGACAATTACACTCACAACCTAAAATATTTTACTGAAATTGCAGATGTTGCATCATAGTTTTTGAAATAACAATGCTTGCCTTTTGATTTTTGATTTATTTCCCTAATACAACGTGTCAACAACCATTATAAAGGGTACGATATCAAAGAAAATAATTGACATAACATATTGAAATTGATCGATTAATTGTGTTTGTAATAATAAGATAAATAAAATATTATAATAAAAAACTTTACTCGTGTTTTATTTTTTTATTAGATAACAAGTTCAGGTGTAATGTCAAAAATTATTTTTTTTTTTCAACGGATAGAGATGTACAAATTAATTTACGTATATGTCCACTAGTCTGGTCAAAGTTAAGGTTCAATGGATTGTCAAGAATTAAACTCAAAATATTAGAATGTATAACTTGTCCCCATTATCATTTAAGTTATTCCCTAAAATTCAAAAATTACTTTTCAATATCATGGACCATTATGTAAAAAATAGAATCAAATTAATTTCCTCTCACTTTCTTTTCCTAAATACTCATTGCACCCCCTTCTACGAAGCACAAAATACAAATAGCCCAACCTAAAAATCCAAACATTTGTTTTTGTTTTGGTTTGAGAAAGGAAAAAAATTAGAATTTTTGTATTGCTTATGAACTTAAAAGACCCACAATTGAAAGTTTTGTTGCTAGGAGACTGTCTAACACCAATGTTTCCCATCCAAATAGCATAGTTCCCATGGGTACATTTTTTGCCTTAAAAGCATAAATATGAGTATTCATGTGGTAGCAAAATAAAACATATTTTTTTTTAAAAAAAAGGTTAGGGGTGTCTCGGTCAATTTATGTCGATCTCAACTAATTTTTTTCCCAGTTCGGTCAAAGCAAACCACTTACACTAGAATTAGAATATTCACGAGCGATTTATGAATATTGATGTGGTAGCAACATAAAACATTTTTTTTTTCAATAGCCTGGGGTGTCCGGCCCATTCACGTGTACCTTAACTAATATCTTTCTTTGTTCTGTTAAAGGCAGGTCATCTATGCCGGAATTAAGATATTCATAAGAGATAAATCTATCATAGTCTGACTCTAAAGAGTTGTCAAAATTCAAATTCAAAACCCCTAAATTTATAACTCATCTCTATTACCACTTGAATTATCTTAGAATTAACATAAAACACTTTCACGCCCAAATCATCTATGTACGAGCCTTGTGGCTTATGGGAGCGTTAATTCATGGATTCATCAAGCTTAGAGGCATTTTTTTGTAGTATTTTTCTAGTTGTAATTAGTGATGCCAACCTGACCTAATCTAAAAATTTATATTTTGAATAATTTATAGGACCGTCTTACAATATATCAATTATTTTGATAATTTATTATGTGTAATTTTTATTTTTTTTTAATTCAATCATGTATCTTGAATTCAAATGAAATTACTATATTTTGATGACTTCTGTGTCAACCATGTGTATCTCTCGTCGTTAAATGTAGCTATGTGAATTGTATAAGGGGAGACGAGTTTTTATCGAATATTAATGATTTGTTTATTAATTATTGTCATATCAAGTTTGTGTCGTTATAAATTGTGTGTAACCGATATATATACATAGCATGTCATATATTTATTTTAATTTATTTATTAATTATTTGATATTTTCACTAATTGATAAAAATAGGTGATTTAAGAAATATCTAATGACGTCAATTGACACCCTTAAGTGAGTCAATTTTTAACTTTAGTGGGTGGTCTGAGTAAATTAAAAAAGTAATAAAAAGAAAAAGGCAATGAGAAGAAAAAGAAGCAAACTTCAGTTTGGTTTACTACTTTGTCTGGACTCGTCGCCTATACGGTCCATCAACATCCATCAAGCCTCCTAGATTTCAGTACTTTCAACGGTCATGATTACTCATACATTTTTGGCCTTGTGTTGTACCTACACCTCTGCTTCAGGGTATCATTACTCTTATTCTAAGTAGACCTTCGAAGTTCGGAGGCCTTTTTTGGTCAATTCCTACATACTAATTTTTTCTCAACAAGCCTGGAATGGCACCCGCGTGTGCGGTATCAGCCAAAACGATCGTACCCCTTTTTTAAAACACGCTCTCTCTCTCTCTCAAAACACACAACTTTCTCTCTTTCTCTCTATTAGGAGAATCCACCAGCGGATCTGCCATTGAAAGATATATTCGAGATATATCGTTTTCCAAGCCGTACACTTCATAGTTTCGAACGAGCCCACCTTGTTTCTCTCTCATTTCCTTGGGAAAGAGTATATATACGTGTGTGTATATATATATATGTACATATATAAGAAGAGTCAGAAATTGTAGCGAGAGAGAGAGAGAGGTGTTAGTTTGGTCTGTTAAATCCAAGGTCGCATGCTTTGAAGAGAGGGAAAGAGAGATAGAGAAGATGTTGGAATTGAGAGATGGGAGTTGCTATCCGAAGGCATTAGTGGCTGTGAATGTAGTTCTGGCTTGTATTGATGGCCTTATAGCTGTTCTTGCTTTCGCTCAGGTCTGCTCTCTTATTGCTTTTTCTCTTGTTCTATATACGAAAATACATAAATACACAGGTACAAAAGTCACCCGCATATGCATTTATGTGTGTAAATTCGCGTCTTTTCAGTGGGAAAGTTGATTTCGTTTTGAGGGTTTTTCAGGATTTTGTGTATTTTCTTGTGATTCAGAGCTAGAGTCTTGATAGACTAACATTTATTTTCGGTTCTGTAATTGGGGGCGGTGAGATGAATGAAGAATTTGATTCTTTTTTAGTTCTTTTGGATTTTTTGGGTGCTCATTTGGCTTCAGTGCATTGGGAATGCACTTGAAACTAGAACGGATTAATGAGCATTGAGGCATTACACCATGTGAAGAAAAGAAATGGGTGTGTGTGTGTGCGTGTTATCAAATGGGGAAAGTTGGGTGTGGTTTGAGTGATATAACTTGTGATAGACTGGTAAGTGGATTGAACTTGCAGCAGAGGAAACGCATTGATGCATTACATCATTTTGTTGGGTATAAATTCGTTTTTTTTATGAACGAGTGCACAGGATTTCCCCTTAATTTTCTTTTGTTGCCTTCTAGCTTAATTTCTTGTTTATTTAGATATTATTTGATAGCAATGTAGTTGAGTTGTAAGAATATAAAAAGGCATCTATTCATGATGCTATTTCACTGATTATAATTTCACTGATTATAATTTCACAAAGGTGCGATTGCTGTAGAGACCTGGGGTCATTTGGAAACTATGAATTTTCAATTTTTCGAATAGAGTTATTCTATCTTTAAATGGTTATGACGTATTTTGGCCTATTCATATAATACTCGTTAGAAATGCTTTGGGGAGGAGAGGGTAGGTGAAGGAGATTCTTGTTTCCCAGTGCACAAAACAGAAATGATGGTGGCACGTTTTGCATAGTGCTAGTTCAGTAATCGAACTGTGGGATGACATCCTTATTTTGTTCAACTTTTCCTACCTACCATCTTTGGTAATATTATTACCAAGTTGGTTGTCAGTGACTCAGTGGTGATTGTGAGCGCCTATTATTGTTCTGGAAAAAGTTGAAGCGACCTGTCAATATAATGAGAATTTTTTTCTATGATCTTTTGAAATTTGAAAGAGTTACAATTTGGTGAAACGAGAACGGAATTAGAATTTATTCTTCAAATGAAAGGGAAGGATGGCAATTTTTCATTTTACGGTTTATGAATTCAGCATTGATTGAATCATTGCCTGTGCAAGGCTGTTTGGGAAAGTTTGGAATATTTTTACTTATTGTTTGCCTATGCTTGATTGTGCCAATGTGTACCTTAGCTGTTGAATTTCCTCGGGGATCATAGGAGATGGTTGTCACCTACTTACATTTGTATTATTACTGTCAATTTGATTACGAGTTGTAGGTGACTTGGTGTGAATGTAATTCATGGTTTTTACTGAAGTTGTTAGAGATCTATTTTAAGATACAATCAGAACACAGTGGAGTTCAAATCACACCAAGTGTTGAAACTCTGAACAACTAACTCATGGCGTAGTCAAAATAAGTAATGAATTTCAAAATAGTTTTTGCAGATAAAGAGTAACAGTGGCATTGTGCCATTTTATTGTTTATACTTCATACTTTCATGTTAATGCAATTGCTGCATAAGGAAACAGGCAAGTTGGTTGCCTGTTGTGATTGTAAGTGATTAGGATTTTTTTTTTTTGCAATTGTTTGTGATTGTCAAGGTGAAGTTCAAATGAAGTGTTAAAGAAAAAAAACCAGCTACAGGAAAAATAAGTAGTTGATTTCAAAATCTATTCGACAAGGAAATGGAATGGAGGTAGTGATTCTTTTTTCTTTTCTGTAGGAAACAAAACTTTGATTTCATAGAAAGATGACAATTTACATAAATGGTGTATACAAAATCCTCCCAAAAGAGCAAAAAGATAGAAAAATAAAATAAGCAAAGAAGACAAGTAACTATAAATGGCTTTCAATTGTGTTGAATAACCGATGAAGGATTATCACGATACTCCTTAGAAAACACAGTCCAAAGAGATTCCATAAACATCACTCCATCCCATAACACCTCCGTCTCCTCTTTCCTTATTAAAGGGGCATTCTGATGGTTTTGGAAGTGGTAAAAAAGATTCCGCTTTATGACCATTATTCCTTCTATCTATTGTGGTTAAGTGTTGATGCTTTAATTTATAATTAAGGATTTCTTAGTACCTTTGTAATTGTTGGAATTATACTTTGCCGTTGTTTAATATATTGCTGCACAATGTTTTTTTTTCTCTAGTGCCAGTCTAGAGATGAAAATTGTTGCACAAGGACATGTTTTGTGCAGTTTTCTTACGCCCTGTTGCGTTTCAATCGTTGAATTGTTTGCTAGTTTTGATCAATGGGTTCGTTATGTTATTGGAAATGGTGAAGAGAAGTTTTCAATTGTTGTAAGAGATCATAGTGTTAGAACATTCAACCTAAAACCATTGGAGAAAGATTGCAAAGGTCCCTTAAGCATACCCTTAAGCATGTGAACGGTGAATCTAATCATTTAATGTGGCACACAAGTTCTCTTCCACCCTCCCTTCCCTCTCATAGGACTCAGGATCACACTTGGGGCTAACAAACAAATTGAGAAACATTACAACAAGGTGAAGATAAAGATCATAGTGTTGAAAATAGAAAAAATTGGTCAAATGAGAAATAGGGATTCTAGAATCTTTCCAACCAAGGGAAGGGCTTTTGGCCATTATTCCACTATATTGATGATGGTTTGGTGTTGATTGAATCACTTTATAATCCAAGACTGTTTTGGAAAGTTAAAAAATATGGAACTAAAGTTTTTGACCAACTCCTACCATGGTTGCGAAACTTCCTTAGGAAGCGTAACTTCTTGTTAGTTCATGAAGTGAAATGCTTGAATAGTCTCAAATAATATCTTAGGCATCCAGGTGCTTCGTTGGCTGTGATTTACGTTACCGTAGGGGCACATAATTCATCTGAAGCTCACAAGAGACGTGTAATCATGCATACGTCATTTTCGGGTATTGACTACCCAAATGGCTTAAAATTGTTTGTATTGCCTGTGTACCTATGTTGATTAATGTATTTTCTTGAATCCATTTTAATATGTAGGTTCATATAAGATGACTCTATAGGCCAGGGATACTACTAAGATGGTGCACATATTCTGATTTTTCTTTTCCAAATCATGCACGTGCACACATACAAAAGAAAAACAGATACTTGGAGAGAATATAATAACTATTGGTTAGCTTGCATAACTTCTAGTTCTTTTTTGTACCAGTTGTTGAGGATTCATTCAAGGAATTTACACACTGGCTGGACTCGACAAAAAGTAAGTAAAATTTTATAATTAGTAGTCAATTTTTGTTTTTTAACTGAGTCAAGTTCAATTAAAACCACTTTTTCCTTTATTTTTTTAATGTATGCAAGCTGGTTGAGTAATACTGCTGTACTTGCAACACTGGTTGTTCATTATTTTTATTAGCAGCTTGGATGATGATAGGAGAATGATCAGTCTCTTAGTTCAATTGTTATTTTCATGGCATGAATTAATATCAAGAATAAATATGTGAATATCTTCCCATTTTCAGCATTTAAATATTTTATTAGAAGACTCTAGAGTTTGGTAGATCTCGGTTTTTGTACTTTCTTATCATGGTTTCTCTCTCTCCACACACCAAAACCAAAAAGAAAAGAACATACACGTGTGTCTGTGAGTTTGGAACCGGTATCGTGGTTAAAAGTCACATCATTGGCCATTGATTCTGGGTGCACTTGAGACACATCCGCCGGCATCACAAGAGGGTATCACCGTATTGGACGATAAGCACGAAATACTAGATAGAAGAAGTTGAGCATGATGGATTTGCAAAACGATTGAGTCGTTTGAGATGTCATTGCTGAGTCATTCGAGACAGCATTGAGTCAACACTAGTGAAGTGAGGCTCTTGGTTTACATGGCAAATGGAAGGTGTCGAGTCGTATTGGTATCGGTCAATACTTTGAACCATGAGGGGTGGTGGTTCTAGTTATTCTAGTTATTGTTGAAGTCTTGAACCTTATGAGGCATCATGATTCCTGTATTTATGAATCGTATATTTGTATGATAGTTGGGAATTATACATTATGTTTTTAATGCATGCATAATTTTTGTTTGGTTTGCATTTTTCTGGAAAAGTTGTTATTATTTCTCTGCAAGTAATGGCTATATTTATTTTGAAGGTACTTAAAAATTTACAAGTAAGAGCTTTTTGCAGGAAAACTTCTTTTACAGTCATCACATGTGTATTTCTTTCTACTAATCTTTGTATTTTAATGCCTTTTGTTTTGTGCTCTAATTGCAGTTCCTATATATATAATTTTTGTGTTTACACTAAATTGGAATAATTGTTTCATGATACATGCTATTGATTGCATTGTTATTTTTCAGTATTTAACTTGTGATATATTTCTGTTGGTACATTCTTATTTTAGCATGGGCAGATAGTGGTTGATCTTCTCACATTGAATTGCAGGTGTTTCATTTAATGATTGGGTCCTCGAATTTGGGTAAGACATTGCAGTTTTTCTAGTGATTATTCATGTGGTGATACATCTACTGCCCTTGTTTTTTCTTTAGTCCTGATGATCTCATTCAAGATAACCAAATATTTTGTTTTGATGGTTTCCGTTCATGGACGTGAAGTCATTTTATCTCACAACTGGTGCTTAGCTGTTTAGTATTTGTCACTTTTGTATGATCTTTGTGTCAAGTGATTGCTTAAAGTTCTCAATCGGCTATATGAGCTTTTCTGGCACATAATCTGTTGGAAGTTGCATTGCAAGATTCTTGATGTATTAGGGTCAATATGACTAGTGATCCATTCTCTTAGAACATATGAAAGAATTAAGTAGTGGTGATAACCAATAAATAAGAAAAAAAAAGTGCACAGAAACAAAGGAAACAGTCAAGTACTACTTTGTACAGATTGCTGCACTATTATTCTTAGTTTCGCTGATAACAAATGTTGGACAATTTAAAAGCCAAATACTCATTCACTTAGGATAGCATTCATAGACGCCACAATTTTATTTTTGACGTATCATTAATCATTCTGATGAAACACTTGGGGATAGCCTCATACTATACCTAGGAAGCATGGGGCAAAGTTTGAAAATATAGGACAATGGTACGGCTAGGATACAACTCAATAAAATAATATTATTTATTTTTTACATTATAATAGAATTGTAATATATTAAAAAAAAAGCATATTTTATACCATTATTAATAATAAAACCTACTAAATGTTAATTTTCTGATTAAAATTGAAATAGATCAAAATAAACATCCACCATTTTTACCAAACATCATTACTTTCATAGTCTAGAAGTTACATAACTAAAAACACAAAAACCAAATAAAGAAATTCTTCACCCCTCTTAATAGTTAAAAGTTGCAAGATTAAAAAAAATTCTTGTCGTGTTTGACTGAATTCAGTGTTCAAGAGACTTCTTGCCAGGTCAGACACATCTCCATGTTGGACATGTGGTTGACACTGCCACGATACCCCTCTAGCAAGTATCCGTGCTTCCTAGTACTATTCATTTCTCTTGTCAGTTTGTGATTGTTAGCTGTGATTGCATTCCATTTTATTCTGACCCATGGTCTATTTTTTTTGGTCGGGACATATGGTCTATTGAGTATTAGGAGATTCAGGATTAGAAAAGGTTGTTGCTGGTAAAGAGTATGACCTCAGCTATGGAGATCCATCCTCTCTGTTTTGAAGCTTCTTGTTCGTGATTGTACAACTTCTTGCTTCATTTCGGACTTGTTTTCTCTTCCATAATTGGTGAAAGTGGGTTGGTTATCAAGCATTGTTATGCCCCTCTTTGAGCAGTTTGCTTGACAATTTGGAAACTGATCTTATTGTTTTTCAGATTTAGTTCATTCGCAGATCTGAAATGTTAAGACAATCCCACAATTTTGAGAATTTGATCAATGTAGATATCTTTAGGTGGCCAAGTTCTATGTACCCGAGGTCCAAATTTCCCTAGCACTTGACGTTGGCCTGCTTTTCTTGCATGCAGCTGATGATAATTTTGCATTGCTTGAAGCTGTTCTTTTTCTATCAGACTTAACCATTTTGCTCTCGAACAATAGGTCATAATGTTTTATTAACAATGATGGGTAAAGAATGACGTCATTTTAATTCTCTATTACCGGCATTGAATGAGCTTGAAGTGCGAAGACAAGATGGACTTTTAGTGTCCCATTAATTCAGTGTCCATGGACTAGATTATAAGGTGTGCAGATGCTTCTCAAGTGTGGAGATTGTAAGTGGCCATTTGCATTATTTAGCTACTATTAGAAGATAAATGGTTGATCCATAAACATGGAGACTGTTGAAGCATACAATCCAAAACCAATTGGAAATTGGTGGAATGACCTCTCTTGTATAGAAAACAACTTTGGGTATACAAAATTTTTTAGACTTGACTCACTTGTAAATCCAAACTAGAGCAAAACAGACATGGGTGGCAAATTCAAATGGGTGAGAGACAAGGCCCACTAACCAAATATTAGTCCACTCCCATTCCACCTAAAAGCTTAACCTGTAAGTACGGAGCCCATTCATAATATATTAGGGCTATTTCACTTACTTTCTCTTTTGCTGTGGGATGCATGATCTATCACTCTTTACAAGCATCACATCCAAGTCATTCTTTACCACATTGTTACTACTTTGGGAGTTCACTTGAGGTCGTTAGTCATCGGCTTTGATACCATGTTGAAGCATCCAACCCAAAACCAATTGACAATTGGTAAAGTGACCGACGAAGTATATAAACCAAACTTAGGTGTAGCTAATCATTCGATGTGGCATACAAGCACTCTCAAAAAGGCTTTGAAATTTTTTAAGTGTTTCATGATTTTGGAGACCTCAGAGGAGTTATTTGGTTTTAAATTTTTTCCATTAGCACTTCTGTTGTCAAAGGCTTGCAATAACCACAAATTAAAAATAGTTATATGCTTACTATAGGAAAAATATAGTTATATGTCCCATTGAATGTGATTACAGCAAGTAGCACTTCTCTGTTAGATTTGTTTCTCCACATGGATGCCCCTTTTTATGGTTTCTTTGCTACGTTTATTTTCTTTTCTCCTTCCATCATTTTTATACTATTCTTCTGTTTAAACTTTAGCGACCATTTGTTTTGCTATTCTGTAACAATAATATATATTTGTCAATGGTGCTCTCTTTTATTAAAATTAGGCTATGGAATTTAATTTATGTTTTTACTGGCAGGCTACTTTCTTTATTTTGTGTTGACTCTTTTTGCTGCTTGTAAGGGTTGGATATGCTNTCTCTTTTATTAAAATTAGGCTATGGAATTTAATTTATGTTTTTACTGGCAGGCTACTTTCTTTATTTTGTGTTGACTCTTTTTGCTGCTTGTAAGGGTTGGATATGCTGGTCACACTCTTGTGGCTTTATTGTCATGGGTATGCAGTACTCTCTCTCTCTCTTCCTTCTAGTGATTAGAAGTTCTCCAGTGATCTGGCGGACAGACTTACATGCACAATTTGTTTTGCAGCTTGCCCCAAAATTCTGTTTCTTGCAGCATTTCTTTTACTTCTGTCATTCTGGTATGTTTCACCTTTGTTGTTTAGTTAATCCACGTGAGATTTTCCTTACATATCTTTCTTGATTTTTATGTTTATGTACCTATATTTAAAAGGTGTACACTTCTTTGTCTCTGAGTAACTTTTTCAATTCCTTATCATCTTTTATCAATTCGAGTGTTATTAAGGCACAAGGAACACCAAAGTGCTAAAGTCTTCTGCTCCCCNACATATCTTTCTTGATTTTTATGTTTATGTACCTATATTTAAAAGGTGTACACTTCTTTGTCTCTGAGTAACTTTTTCAATTCCTTATCATCTTTTATTAATTCGAGTGTTATTAAGGCACAAGGAACACCAAAGTGCTAAAGTCTTCTGCTCCGCGACATGAGACGAGGCACAAACCGAGGCATGTGTTATAAATAACAGGGAAATATTTTTAACATTGACAATTTTTTTATTATGGGCATAGTCACAAATCTCGGACTACATGTATGAGTAGTAGCATTCAATTGAATGGATCTGGCTCCAGGCACACGACTCAGCGAAATCGCGTTGTCTCTGGTCTATTGGGACCCTACAGGTGCATGTNCAGGGAAATATTTTTAACATTGACAATTTTTTTATTATGGGCATAGTCACAAATCTAGGACTACATGTATGGGTAGTAGCATTCAATTGAATGGATCTGGCCCCAGGCACACGACTCAGCGAAATCGCGTTGTCTCTGGTCTATTGGGACCCTACAGGTGCATTTTAACCTGGCCTTGCACCTAGGCATCCTATTCACATCATTGTTTGTCTCTCTCCTTTACCCTCAACTGGCCCCACTCTTCCTAGAAAATGGGTAGCTCAAGTTTGGATGTTTTTAAAACAATTATTAATTTTTATAGTACTCCAAGTAGAGGTGAGAATGTCTGCAGACATGTAGAGATTTTTGACTGGTATTGCAAGTTACATATTTGCATCAAATGCTTCTTTGTCCCTTCTNACAATTATTAATTTTTATAGTACTCCAAGTAGAGGTGAGAATGTCTGCAGACATGTCGAGATTTTTGACTGGTATTGCAAGTTACATATTTGCATCAAATGCTTCTTTGTCCCTTCTTTTTTCATTTTGTTTATAAAGTGCTAGTAAATATTTTTAGCCATCACATGGTTGTATGTAACCCTGAAAATTTGCTGAATCACTACCGTATGTGCTCATATCATTTTAATTTCCGTATTTTTCCACAATGTATAAGGTCATAGCTATGGGACGCAAATCCTAATTGTTGTTCATAAATATCAAATCTTGCGGGGATTGTCAAGTAGAAGCACAATCTTGGCCAATGTTCTTGTCAGGTGTCAATATATAATGTCTTTTAGGTCTGAAGNCATATCATTTTAATTTCCGTATTTTTCCACAATGTATAAGGTCATAGCTATGGGACACAAATCCTAATTATTGTTCATAAATATCAAATCTTGTGGGGATTGTCAAGTAGAAGCACAATCTTGGCCAATGTTCTTGTCAGGTGTCAATATATAATGTCTTTTAGGTCTGAAGTCAATGGATACATTCCAGTACGCTTTTTCTTTTTCTCATAATCTGATATACAGGTCTTTAAGTGTGACATTTCCTTAATTTGCTGCAATCTTCTGCAGGTTTCATCTCACCACTTTCTTTTTCAGTTGATAAATTGACATTAACACTTAAAAACTGTCTTATGAATGCTATAATCCATGCTTCCTCCGGTAATGGTTTATAGGGTTGACCTTTGCCATCAGGCAAATGATGAAGAAGATGAGGATGAAGGATGTAGTTCTCAGGAGGCTTTGTTAGATAAGACAAATAGACCGCAATCAAACACTGATAGTCACAGAAAATGTTGCTCTTTCCGATGCTTCCGTATTGGGAGCCGCCAAAGAGTAGTGATTTTGGTAAGGGAATCAAAAATAGGTTTTATGTTGTGTACTCCTCTATATTTCTTTGTATTTTCATTTTGTTTTCTGCGGCAACACTACTGTAGTATCATTGCACAAATTGATGATCTTCAATTAGTTACTTTGATAATTCCAGGTTACTGTACTAGTCTTTATGTTGATGATGGCATCTGCTGTGCTAATTTGGATTGGTATGGGAAAGAACTCTATCGACTCATCAGTGGTGGCTCGGGTATGAATTGTTGCTCACTTTTTTGACTTGAGTCATTTATTTTGTGAATAAGCTCACTGCTATTGCTTCTGAATTGTCTTGGCTGACATTCAGAGTTACCCTGTTATAGATGTGGTTCAATTGCTGGGGAAAATAATTGGAACTTCTGTTTATGCACTCTTTGGAGTAGATTGTTTGCCCCACATATGTTCTGAATGTTACTGTAATATCTATTTTTCTCCTTTCACTTTTCTTTTTCTTCCTTTTTCTGTTTTTTTTTCTATGTTGTTCTTTGTGTGTGTGTTGGGGAGAGGACCTGTTTTTGGGGGGGCGGGGGGATTGGGTTTTTAAGATATCCAGAAGGGTCAGACTTTCCAGAATGGCTTTGTTGTTGTGGTGCATTTACTTGTGCCCAGAGGGTCATCTCTAATATGTAATTCAAGTTGGTTTTCATCTACAGAAGCATACTTTTTTAAGCAGTAACTAGCTAAGAATGTTTCTAACTTAATTCTGTATCTGGACAGACATTATTGTGGTAGACTGGTACAGCTAGTATCTACCCTTCTTAAAAACTTAGTAGGTCATGCATGTTCCTGACAATTGTCATGTTCTCTCCATTTGGTTGCAATTGGTGAGAAGTAAAGTACATTAACCTTCATTATCATGCAGGTGTATGTAGATCTTTTCGCCATAGCAGTCCTTTTACTTGGAGGAGCATTAGCATCTTATGGTGAGCACCTATCCTATTAGATGCTTGTTTTTAAAAGTCATTGCATAGAGACTTTTTTAAATAACTGGTGGTTCGTATGCTGTCCTGTGGATCAATGAAGGGGGATTTCTTACATTCGTAATGGGTGAGCATCCTGCTTTTTATTGAATGCAATGTCATTGGGATGTCTTTACTGAATTAAGAAACTGTGTTCATCACTTGCCACAGAATCTCGCATTTATGTTGCCAGTCTACATGAAGGAGCTGTGTAGTTTGTTTNTGCAATGTCATTGGGATGTCTTTACTGAATTAAGAAACTGTGTTCATCACTTGCCAACAGAATCTCGCATTTATGTTGCCAGTCTACATGAAGGAGCTGTGTAGTTTGTTTATTCTTTTTCAACCCATTTATCTGTTGAAGTCGATTCTGTTGAAAGGACATGTAACAAACCTTTTAGTTAAAATGTCCCCTTTGCTTTGGTGGGGTTGGTCCGTTCGTGGCACATTGTTGATAGACTCAAAAATAGTTCTGAAGGCACTGCANAAGGAGCTGTGTAGTTTGTTTATTCTTTTTCAACCCATTTATCTGTTGAAGTCGATTCTGTTGAAAGGACATGTAACAAACCTTTTAGTTAAAATGTCCCCTTTGCTTTGGTGGGGTTGGTCCGTTCTTGGCACATCGTTATTACTTTTATGATTTTGCATGTCTTGAGTTGTTACTTTTAGTGCGTCATGCAATTAGTTTACATAATATCTGATGCTTTCTTTTTCTCTGCGGAATCATTTTTCTTGCTTGCTTATCAACTGAATTACGTTTTCAGGACTTGTATTATTCTTGAAAATGGGCAAAGTAAGATCTGAGAGGGCTGCTTCTGAAATGTGGAAGGTACTCAGAATATTATTGTTGGATTTTGGATTAATAGATCTCTTTCAATAATTAACAACTTTATTCCATGGCATTTTACCTACTTTTGTCTCGTGTTCAAGTAAAATGTACATGACCTTTGGTTCATTATGTGAAGAGAGCCTGCATTCCATGTTGAAAGGTTAGAGTCCGTGGGTCACCTAAGGTTGGTTTATATGGTTGGGTGGCTTCTCCACCATTATCAATTGGTTTTAGGTCGGATGCCTTTAATATTGTATCACAGCTGGGCTTTGGGCGATAGTGAGCCAACTTTCATATCAATTAGAAGTTTCGGTATTTTTTGTTGTTTTGTCAACCATGTGCGAGGCCGGAAGGGTATTAAGTGAGCGTGTATCCTACATTGAAAGATTAGGATCACCCAAGGTTGATTTATATATTCGAGGGGTCTCTCCATCCAATTGGTCTTGGGTTGGATGTCTTTGTCATTTCAGTGCCTTGGAAGTTTTATATTGACTATGGGTTACCCGTGACTGAAGGCACGGTGCAATGTGAATGGTTTTAAAAGGGATGTTGGTGGCTGTTGGATGAATCTATTTGAGACCGTCGGATGGGCTTATTTAAAGCCTGTCCAGTTTTATATTATAGATATGTTCTAAATATGTTGAGTTGTATATGAATAAGATAGGTCAAATACATGCTCTAACTGTGCTGTGTTGGGCCATTGATTTTCGGTAGAGTTTGGGAGCAGCTCTTTTTTACCTCTCTCTGTGTGCGTGTGTATGTATATATAGATGTTTTTCAGTGTAATCAGTTTCTTTTCTTTCATTGATGTGCTGCATTTTGTGCAGGTTGCTGGTTTGGCCATTGTTTCGGTCCTATGTTTTACTTCAAGTGCTTTTGTTGCTCTTTTCACAAAAATACCCGTATGTATTAGTCTCCTGCACTGATAATTGGTTTGTGCTTGATTTTCAAACTTTTATCACATTTTTTTTTTCTAAAACTGATGTTGGCCGCTATTGCAGGTGCTTTATCACTGGCCTCAACAGGAAATTAATGATGTTCGTACCTCTCTTCTGCTGATTGTATATTATTTTATAGGTGCATGCTCCAACTTCTTCCTTTCAAGCTGAAAACATTTTTGTCTGAAAATGTTAGACTAAATATTAGTAGTATTTTTATCCTTGATAATCTTTTATTATGATATTCAATGCAAAATAACAAAATAAATAACAATTATCTGTGGGAGGGAGTATGATTTTCCCACCATTCAAGCCTTATAGCTTGGAAGAATTCAAAATTGATAGAAGATATATATTTTACCACACGTGTAGCTAAGTTGCTACCAATCTATAGCTTCTCTTATCAAGTTTTGCAGTGCAGTGTCCAATTTGGTAAACTTAGATATAAAATACTGGAATACTATTTCCCTTGCACGAGCCTTAGTTCAATAGACATTTTGTTTGTGGATTTTGTCAAATAATTGAGCAGCCTTAACATTTCCCACTGCCTTTAAGATTTTTTATTATTTATTGGCAGCCCTTGTGACATAGCAACCGTGCAATTTGTAAATTGCTGCTTGATTATTTTTCTTGTAACTCCTTAGAATTCCTTCAGGTTGTTTGCCTGTTAAGGATCATTTTGTTCCTGGCAATGAAATGCTTTAAAAGTTCTGGGCCAATACTTTCAAGCAGGACTGGAGGGGAACTGCCCTTGAACTGATTTTTGAATGACATATTAGGATAAAGATATGCAAATTCGACAAAGTGGATATACCGATATGTGATATTACTAGATTATCCGCTATATGTGAGAGCTGTTCAGCAATATTGATACAAACTTTCTGTTTTTAGGCTTCCCAAAAAATTGGGATGCACAGGCTACAAAGTTTAATCTAGGAACCCAAGACTTTGAAACACAGAAGCAGGATGAGTTGATGTTTCCAGCAGTACAATCACCTGGTCTAGCCTGTTAGAAGCGGTGGTCTTGTTCATACTACGAGTCATCAAAGTGATATTTTATTGATTGTTTTCAACTTTAAAACAAGTAGATTCTTATTACAGAAAGGAAATGAACTAATAGGATAATATTTTCCAGAAAGAAAGGTAAAAGGAATAAGATGAAATAATCAATAAAGAAAATGGATTTCCCAAATGCATAGCACTCGTCCTGTTGCTTTTTGCTTTGCATTTACAATGACAGTAATTAATCTCTACTGCTGTCTAATTAATATGGTGTTCAATCATTGGGACAGGTTCATCAGTACCTTCGGCATTCGTATTATGGGTGATGAGAGAATTACCAGCTTCCATCGTGGTTAACTCACAAGAAGAATCGAGAACAATAGCTTTCATCAGTGATAGTTCAATGACACTACATCCTCAGCGCTGGACTGCTGCTACAAGCTTACAGAATCAGGTTGAGATCCAGTCAATTATTTAAGTTGTTTGGTGATAATTTTTTTGGAGATGGTCGTTATCTGATTACCTTTGTCTGGACTATTGTGGTGTACTATATGTGCAACCACAATTAGACTGGTCATCATAATGTCAAATTGTGATATCACATGTTATGCTTTGCAAAATATGGGGACAGAATAATGGTTGCAGATGAAAGATTTAGTACATCTTTGGAGAGAACTAGAACAAGATTTGATGTGAGGTGACAAATGTAGGAGGGGATATGTTTCATCAATCGGAAAACATGGGGTGGCTCAATACCCAGCTAATGGAGCTGATCCATAAGCTGCAAGGAACTTTCTGGGGTAGTGGTGACAGTTAGATGTTTTCTTGAAAATAGAAATGTTCAGAAAATAAAGACTTTCTTGAAACCCAAATTTACTACAGAAGACGACCTTCTCCACTTAAATAAACCAACTCCAACAAATTCATATTTCAGTATATATTGAACTGGACAAATGGACTTGATATATTGTGAGTGCATTAAATTTCATGAGTAACGTCTGTTCTTTGTTAATTATGCTGCACCCTGTTCTTTGGCATAGCAGATTCAAGTGGGCAGTGTGATAAGTCTTTGATTTTGAATCTCATCCCATTTTATAAATCTATTAGAATTCAAGGGGTGCAAAATTGTTTAAATAATATAACTTGGTAAAACTAAACGTTAATAACCTTGATTTTTTTCACTCGGGAACAATATGGTACTTACATAGAAAATGTCATTCTTGTATGTTCAATGGTGTTCGTTATATTATTCTTGGTAGCATTTTGATTTGAATGAACAAGCTTGTTTCGATATTTAAATTCTTTAGTGGGATAGAATGGTTTTTAGAGAAATCTGGTGGTTAATCTAGTATGTGACAAGGAAAGCTGTCACGTGTAAAGTTTGGATTTTGGAAATATCTAAGAGGATTTTCTCTTTATAACTTGGAGGATTATGACTGATGGCACATTAATACGTTCTTTTAGATCTTGGTGAGGCATCAATAGGGATCCATTGAATGTTGATTCCTGGTTTTTCATTTGTGTTAGAGATCATTCTGCGTTATGATGTTAAGAGTGGATAGAAAATGTGTGACAGAATTCCCCTGCCCTGAATTTGAAGAACGTTTTCCTTGGCAATTTGGAGAGAAGTTCATAGCAGTTCAATCGCCATCATTTACCTGGTAACCGAGTTTCTGATCAGAATAGCTATTGGACCTTTCTGTTAACTTGGTATATTATCTTTTCATGTTTTCTTTCCACTGTTTTTATATGGTTCCTCATTTGATCTTAAGTTGTTTTCCTCTATTGTATTTTACCCCCTCCTTGCCACTACTTAAAGCGATGAAAATGCTGAAGACTTTTGCACTTGTTTGAAATTTAGTATTATTTCATATTTACTACTTTCTTTCCTGTTTATGTAGTTTAATATGGTTCTAGGTGCCATTGAATATTCCTTATCCCTTCCATCAAGCATGTCCATTTCTGGGAGTACTTTTCAGCCTTCATTGCCTTTTGTTGTCTTGGTATTTTTAGAAACTTGTACATTATTGGTTATGAGTTGTGATAATCGGGATTTTTGAGAAACACGTGTATTTATATGACTTGAGCTTTTTACCCATGACAGGTATCAAGAGCCAGCCCCATATGATTGCTAGTTGTTAAGAGAAACATAAAAATCGTGGACCAAGGGGGTGCAGTTTGGGCTATGATGGTGATATGAGATCAAAAGAAGCTGATCAATGATATCCATAATGAGGCATATACTTGAAAGGCATCCGGAATACAGCCGTAAGACTGCCGTTGCCATGTTTTTTGACATTTTAGGCCTCTTGTATATAGCCACAAAACACAAAACGAAACTTTGGAGATGCTTCTCTTATTTGTTTATATATGGGCATCAGATACTTCCTCCTATGATCTCCCTTTTTCTGGGAAATGTACCATGTGCATTCTGCTACCTTCGGTTTTGTTTTGGTTGGATTGGTTCTTGTACTCAAACACACTGATATTTCTTTCTCTTGCCTCACTGGTGCACTTACCAAAGAGTAATGCTAGTGTATCTTGCAAATGTTCAGCATGTGTCAACAGGTGTTGGGACCTTTTTTAGTACTAGATTTTTTGATCCCTGCAATGCTAGATCACTTACCGGGTATTTGTGGATGACCTATGTCAATATAATAAGTCTCGTTTGAACTCGTAGTGGGTAATATAATGTTAGGGGAATTCATGAGAAAAAATGGATCCATACTTGCACTGCAAACCATTTTCAATTAAACCCAAATTTTATACTGTCAATTAAATTCGAACCGAGAACATGTGGATTTATACCTTGTCGTATGTCTGGTTACTGAAGCAAACCCATCCTGTCCTTTCAGCACCTTGATTTGCATAGTCATAGCCAGCCTCCCTTGGTTGATTGATTGTGCATTTGTTTCAAATGACTGCCTCGTTGGATGCTGAAATGGCGGTTGCTCTTCTTGGTGACCTCATTCTAGTCCGTATTACCATATTGCTCATGTATGTCTTTTAAGGTATTGTGGTTAGGAATATTTTATGTGCATCTCGATTAATTCTCTTTTCAGTCTAGTCAAAAACAGATCATTGAACTAAATTTACAGTTTGTCTTTGTTCCCATTGGGTTATCCCATGGGTTAGTTCAAGAGCCTCAAAAGTCTGGTTAAATTTGTGCTTTACCAGCAATACCATTGAAAATTTTTGGCGAATCCTGGACCTGTGCTCTCACAAGTCTTTGTAAAACAGTCCTTTGGGCCATAATTATATTCTTTTTCAGAAAGTATAGTGTATGAATGGTATGTGTGTAGAAATGTACATACAAGTGTGTACTCGAGTTTAAGCTTGAACTCAATTTGTTACTAGACAGCCAAGTTGAGGCCCAAATTAGCGAAAGAAATTAATGAAACAAATTTGAAGGGCAAACCAAACTTGAAAAGCCTAGTATTTGTTCAGCAAATTGAAGCTGTGAATGTTATAGTCATCCTCAACATTGACATGAACAATGTAGCATGTTTTTAATGTCAACTGGCCACTGCATTGTTTCGTTTACCGGCAACATTTAGACATGCCCATGGATATTTAGAGTTTAAGGTTACTGGTTCAAACCTCATCATCCTCTCCCCTCTAATAGTGTTTGACCAAAAAAAAAAAAA